GGTTTATAACGGGTTAGGTTAAATCCATAACCCATAAAATAATTAAAATTCTTAATAGACACACACTAGTACACCAAAATAAACATTAATATACCAAAATACAAATATATACACACACGCACTAATACACCAAAAATACACACACATTAATACACCAAAAATACACACACATATATACTAACACACAAAAAAATAAAAACACATTTCATAAAAAACCAAAATACACACACATGATGGGTCAGTTAGACAGTGGGCCATGGGTCAATCCATGGGTCAACCCATGGACTTGGATCATGGATCGAGTCAACTATGGGTCACGGGTTAGTTTGTGGGTCATGGGCGGGGTGTATTAGTGCGTGTGTTTTGGTATAATAGTGTATATGTATGTATTTTTTAGTGCATTAGTGTGTGTGTTTATTTTTTGATATATTAATATATTTAATTGATTTTTTTACTTGTATTATTTAATATAAAGATAAATACATAATTCAATGATTATCCATTTCTAATCCATCTTAACCCACTTAATTAAAATAAATTATATTACCTAACTCATGTATTTATGGACATGTTAGACAGGTTAATATATAATGAGTGAAGTTTGTCACTTCTAATTACAAATTCAATTAATTTGGCTTTGTAACACTTTTTTTATTCAAAAAGAATATGACACATGTCAATAAAAAGGTCATCCACTCAGTTTCATGGGAAGAAGAAAAAGGTATGGTCAACTATACTAGTTGCATATTGAGGTTGGGGACTAGATTATGGGGGTGGGAAAGGGTGTTTTTGGGTCGGATTATCCACATATTCTGATATTTGACTTAAAAAAATAGGCTCAAAATTTGATAGACTTAATAGTTGGTCCGCTCGAGTCAGAACTTAATATCCTTAAAAAAAATTGGGTTTACTTTCAAACTCATTACTCGATTCGAAGTCCGACCCAATAACCCGCACGAAAAAACCCGACTCAAGAGCCCGCCCACACAATCTACCCACCCTTCCTTTGAAAAAAAATTATATTTTTTGACCATTAAATTTGAAACTTTGAAATAAGTTTTACAATGTCGGAATTTAAAGTTTTAAAATTTTATATACTATAAATAATGTATTATTTTTTTTCCATGTATTAAGCATACGTACAAGAATATATATTTTTTGTGATGGCGAAAAACTGCTGCAAAAAGTATATTTACCGTCACAAATATTTTTTGCGACAGCTTTGCAGCATCATTTTGTAGCCGCAATAGGCAGTGCCGCAAAAAGTATTTGAGGCGGCATTACGCAGTCTCAAAAAACGTTAGTGGCAGAAATTGTCTGACACAAATAATGGTGTCGCAATTTTGCGTAACATTTGTGACAGAGACTTTGCCGTTACAAATGTTATGTATTTGTTAAAAAAATATAATTGTGACAGCAATGATGCCGCCGCAAAAAAAATGTCAATTTTTTTAAAAAATTTTTATATTATCAATTTCAACCCTATATATTACATCACACAAATCAAAAAAACTTATCACAGTCAAATAATTCAACATATAATTCTATTCATATATAAATCTAAACACCAAGTAATAATATGTTCATATATATACATAAACAAATCATCAATTAGACAAAACAGTTTAAAATTTACCAAGTATAATGTTAATTCCCCAAGTACAGATAAAAAAGATAAAATTAAAATAAAAGGTTCAACGTCGTATCCACATGTGCTTATATTAAAAATGTAAAAAAAAAATCCTAAGGTCTTCCATAACTCTTTTGCAAATCACCTACCATTTCAATAGTACCTGAAAAAATAAATAAAACTTTTGTTATTATAATACCACAACAACATAGGAAAAAAAACATGCATATATGTATTAAAAAATTAAAAGAAGTTGAACATACATCAATAGATAGCCAAGTAATATTTCGTTGAACATCATTTCCAACTGTTTTGATTCCTTGACGGGATCTTGTCAAACATGCATTACTCTCAATTGCCTTTTCAATAAATACTTTCCAAAAATTTGACCTCAAGCGTATTCCATTCACTTCGGCCAATGGGTCTGTACTAACAAGAATACCCTCTGCTAATATGCACATTGAAATTTTGGAACTTAACAAACCTATTTTACTTCCAACCTACAACAATATGCACAATACAATCAAAACAACAATCGCTATTTAAAATGTCTAATGCATGGTTATTCATAACAATTGAAAGACGTCATATGGTATACAAAATAAATATACCTGTAGACTAACTTCTTCAAGAACTTCATTTCCTTTGTTATTTCTAGTAGTGTGCATCTGTATAACATTTTCACAATATTAGATAAGTCTTTAACTAGCGGGACCTTATGAAATGCATTGGAAAGAATGATACAACAAACATTATATAAAGTGCATTCACAAATAAAAAAAAATGGGATATAGCCTTTATAGAATTGGTGTTATTTATGAATTAGGAGTCTTTCTTGATGACTCTATTAATAGTTGCTCTTTTTTGGTTTTTTAATAAATTCTTTAATTTTTGTGTAAAATTATCTTAATTGCTTGATATTTTTTATAAAAAAGAGAGAGCTAATGACAAAAAAATGATAATGCAAAACTTATCATTTGTGACGGTAATGACTATTTAACTTTTTTGTGGCGACAAATCTTACTGTCACAAAAAATTCACCTCAAAAAGCCTTAATTCTTGTAATACAAGTTTTAAAGGATAAAGTAATGCAAATGATAGATAAGTGAGTAGGTGTAAATCTAGTTAGAATATATTCATCCTATTGGATGTAATTAACCCCCTATTCAAAATTAAAATTATTCATTATTTTATTTTTATCCATTTTGACTCTAGTTTTGATTCAAAAATATAATTTATACAAATATTAAGTAACAAAAATATTTATTATTTTTAAATAAAATTAAATATAAATGAAGTTAAATATTCATTATTTTAAAATGAAATTAAATATTAGCATCTGTAAAAAAAAAAATTAATTTCTTATTTTATCCTTAATTATTATAATAAAATTAATTATACCTACCTATATACTTTCATCTAATTTTTATTTTTACACCTATTTAACTTTCAACTTGTTTTGAACTCTTTTATAAGGATTTCTAAATTCTTTTAAACTAACTTATTAGTAGTGCAATCACATATAATTATCTATATTCTATATGAAAAAGGAAAGTCCCATATAAGGCTTTGTAATGGGTGAAAAACTGCTAAAAATGAGCAATTTGATTGATAGAGGCTCTAAGCCATCTGTAACTTTAGAGGTCTCGTCGTGTTCAAGCAAATATTACTAAGCAATACAATCTTAACATTAATTTTGTCTTTATTTTTCCTCCTTTATTTACCAAGAGACCAACTTCTCCAAAGATGGTACAACTAATCTCAATGTAGGTCAAACGGTAATAAAGATGAGTTATAAACTCAGATGTCTTGAGTTTAAATATTGACAACCCTTTGGGAATCAGGTCATGAGGGATTTATCTTTTATAAATACTCTAGTCCCGACGTGGATGACCTGTCTTTGACAGGACCAACTAGAGAATTTGTCAAGGTAGACATAAACTGGCCAAAACACCTTGCCGTTGAACCCAAAGAAAAAAAAACAAAGATAATGACAATGTATAGAGTCAACTTGTGTGCTTGTGCTTCATTGTACTTCGTGTTTGTTTTTCATTGTTGTATATATATGTTTGTGTTTCATTGTTGTTTGTGGGATGGAAGTTTGTGTTTCATTCTTGTTGTCATCACTAAAGAAGTTTACATAAACAATAATGCTATTTATATTTAACTTAGGTGATGTCTAATGTGAATTCAATGATAACAGTTCATTGGATCGATCCACAACTCAAAATTTAAAATTATGTTTCAATAACATTGTTATTATCCAATGATCCGTTTAATATGATGCAAAAGTTGGAGGACGGAAAAATAGATGGGATAGACATTATCATGCCTGAATAGCAGAAGGATCAGTTTTCCTTAGAATCCACTGAAATTTACCCCTTAAATTGCCCAAGAAAGAAGAAGAAAGTTGAGTATTCTTACTGAGATAGAAGTTGTGTTTCTTTTATATGTTTTAATATATTCTATTAGTATGTTAAAATTAGGGAGAAGTTAAATTTCATATATGAAATATATAATGGTAAATCACCCACTATTTATTAAAGAAAAATCCACTTTTATATAATGAGTTTATAGATAATTTACCAAAAAAAAGAAATATATTTGAGGGATTCTTACTTTGTACTTGTCATCTATGCTACCCAAAATAAAAAGAGTAAAACAAGGTTTATTTTTCTTGAGAACAATAGAGAGCACAAATCGCTCGGTTTATTTTTCTTGAGAACAATAGAAAGCACAAACCTCTTGATTTTTTCTTCTATTTTTCTATCCATTTTACCAAACGGACAATAAATATCAATTGATTAAATAATAATCATAATCATAATCTTGTGTGCCATTGACTAAGACTGTTAATCAAATTGAGTTATTTGAGCTCTCTTAGGGTTCAGTTCGTTTTTTGCTCGTTCAAACTCGATTCATTTTTTAAATGAGTCGAACTTTAACAATTTTTTTAAACTCATTTGATAAATAAGTTCGATAGACTCGACTCATTTATATTCAAATACTCGAACTTAATTCGAGTTCAGTTCAATTTGGGCTCGTTCAGACTTGACTTGTTTAAAAAAATGAGTCAAATTTAAATATTTTTGTAGACTCAATTAAGAAAACAAATTTTTTAAACTCGAAGTGAACTCGTTCCACTATCAACCCTATCTTTGACTTTGAAGCCTGTGGGACGCGGAGGCACATTTACAATCTACGCAAGTATTTAATAGGCGGAGTATGTTGGGTATGCCATTGTGAGAATCGAAACATATTTGTCTTTTACACATTCTTACAGTTTAAATGCACCACAACAACAACAACTCTCTCTCTCTCTCTCTCTCTCTCTCTCTCCATGGAGAAATTGGTGGCATTTTTGCTCTTTATGTTGCTTCTTCATGCCCAAGCAGCTTCATTTGCAAGTAAGTATCAGGGTACATGAATGATGGACCAAATCAAGCTTCTTAGGAGCTTGATGACATTGATAGGTTGTGATCCAGGAACCACTAGGCTTTGGAAAGAATACATTGTTATATAGTTTATGGTTCCACTGTTGGTGTTATGATAAATTAGGTTCAAGGGCTAATGATGTTTGACACTTCCTCATTAGTGTTTAATTTTGTTTTGTAGACTTCGAGTCTTCGTTCTTGCTTGTCGACACTGGAGCAAATGATACTACTGTACATTACAAGGATCAAATATGGCTTTCAGATAAACACTTAATTTCAACCGGCAGAAGCAAGCTTATCAAGCCAGCAATCGATGTTCAGCCTTTCATGACCAGCCTCCGATATTTCCCAAAGGGAGCAAAGAACTGCTACCAACTCTCCCTCTACAATCACAAGTTCTTGTTTCGTGCTGGTAAGAGTATCAATGTTATACTAATGGTTATATTAATAGACATTGATCGCAAGGGTCTAAGTATTATGTGTGCACAACCCTCTGAATTTTGTATGTAATATTTTTAATGTTAGGTGTCTAAGTGATTAAATTACAAAATTCAAGTGGTATGAATGAAATTTTGTCTTTATTATATGTATCAGTCGGCCGTGTCATTTTTTAACCTTCTGTCCCAGTCGAGTTAACGTGTAAAATTGAGGCAAATAAGGTTTTATTATGGGAATTACGATGGACGGTCGAAGCCTCCGACCTTTGATCTCCATCTCGGAGGCGAATTCTGGCCTACTTTCAACACATCTCTCAGTGATGAACCAATTTTTCATGAAGTTTTGTATCAACCGAAGAGTGAGAATGTCTCTGTGTGCTTGGTTCGTACACAGGATGGTGAAATTCCTTTCATTTCTTCCCTGGAAGCAACTTCTCTGGATAAGTATACTTACACACACCACCCTCTGTATAGACTGATGAAGAATGGCACTGCTTTCCATCTTCTGAGCAGAACCAACTATGGCGGCTACAATAGAATATTACCGTAAGTTTTCCTTACCAATACAACCGTTGCATCCATCCATTTGGTAGAAGCGGCAGTCGAGTCGTGCTTTTCGAGTCATGCTTTTTTCGTGTGTGGATCACTTCATATCAATCTATTTATTCATAATGTGTCGTATTCAAGTTGATTCGCTTATAAACAGTAAACTAAAAACTCAAATAGAACCTCATTTTGTCTTAACAAAATACACTACCCACAAGTCCCCAATTATTAAATGTGAAAAAAACATACATTTTTTTCGTATAAACATTTCAGTACACGAGACTCTGATTGTTATGGAGTTTAAGAAGAATTAGACGTACACGAGACTCTGATTGTTATGGGGTTTAAGAAGAATTAGACGTAGACAGTCTTATCCTTATAAACAAATAAGTTATTTTTACGACTCAAATTTGTAAAAACAACACAGAGGATTAGACATTTTCTTCATATATTATAATATAAATTTTATATTTGGGTTTTTGATGTTTGACAATGAAGAAACCGTCTACTAATCGTATTGATGGGTTGTGAGTCGTGTTATTTTCGGACTCGTATTGAGAATTAAAGACTAATAATATTATGTCAGTCGATTTCAATGTCTTGTCAACTGAGTAGGCCATGGTCTGGCACGGACAACGCATGCGAAGAGAGATTGAACAGATACTGGACACCAAAATCAGTACCAGGTTACCTCAATTACTCATTCTCGGTTGATTCCTGCATCGGCATGTACTACGAGAACCGAGCTCCGGATACTGTCATGAGAACTTTCATCGTACCTCCGACTGCTTCAGATTCTATTTTCCTGTCAGTTGATTTTCCAACCAATGACCCACAGTCTACGTACTTCGTGTTCTATTTTTTAGATGTTAAAAAGTCGCGAACTATAAACGAAACGAGGAAGGTGGACATTTATATTGATGGGGCATTGAAGAGTGAAATGGAGATAAAGGATGGTATAATCTATGTGGTGAGTTTGTATCCAGTGCTAGTCCAAGGTACCGCAAACGTGACAATTTCTCCGGCAAATGGGTCTGTTTTGCCTCCTATTCTGAATGGCATGGAAGTGTTCATAGCTAGAGATCTGTTGCAAGAGAAGATTGAGACTAATGGTGGATTGAAGATGATTTATTCTTTCATTGTTGTTTTAGGGTTTCATGTGTTCTCTTTCCTCATTTTGTTTGCTTGAAAAAAATAATGTAAGTTGTGTCCATCTCAACATTACTTTTTTCCATGTCATGGTACTCACAATAAGACTTGTTGCACTGTGTACATGGAAGTACTCACAATGACAGAAGTGTCCCTTTGTCGTTGGAATCGATTTCTTTTCCACAGTGGTGTTCTATCTTTATTTCTTAGGTCAAAAACCCACACTTTTCAGTGTAAAACCGCATTTGCAAGAACTTGCTTTTAATTAGGCGATGAGTCTAAACCATGTTTCTTGTAAAAATAACGAGTTTGTAAAATAAGTTTGACATATTATTGGTAAAAAGGAATTAGATTGAAAAATCATGATAATTTCTAAACAAACTCAATTTGTTGTTGTACTTCTTTTAGTTTTCTGTCACTAGATTAAGAATCTAAAATGTTACAAATTTGATGCAACTGTTTGTGCAAACATGCATTTGAAAGCTCTTGTTTCAGTTATTGGAAGGCATGTGAGTTTTTAAATCAGTTAAGCATAGTGGTGCAACTTGGGTTGGGTACCCCAAATCCAATCCGAGCCTAACCTGAAAAAATTAGGGATAGAACAAGAGTTTTTAATACTTGGGTTAAGTTTGGGTCAAAAAATTCTAACTCGAATTCAATTTGGGTTAGACTTGGGTTAAGGCCTCGGGTTCACGGGTTCAACTCGAACCCGACAAATTATATATATATATATATATANGGTACATGAATGATGGACCAAATCAAGCTTCTTAGGAGCTTGATGACATTGATAGGTTGTGATCCAGGAACCACTAGGCTTTGGAAAGAATACATTGTTATATAGTTTATGGTTCCACTGTTGGTGTTATGATAAATTAGGTTCAAGGGCTAATGATGTTTGACACTTCCTCATTAGTGTTTAATTTTGTTTTGTAGACTTCGAGTCTTCGTTCTTGCTTGTCGACACTGGAGCAAATGATACTACTGTACATTACAAGGATCAAATATGGCTTTCAGATAAACACTTAATTTCAACCGGCAGAAGCAAGCTTATCAAGCCAGCAATCGATGTTCAGCCTTTCATGACCAGCCTCCGATATTTCCCAAAGGGAGCAAAGAACTGCTACCAACTCTCCCTCTACAATCACAAGTTCTTGTTTCGTGCTGGTAAGAGTATCAATGTTATACTAATGGTTATATTAATAGACATTGATCGCAAGGGTCTAAGTATTATGTGTGCACAACCCTCTGAATTTTGTATGTAATATTTTTAATGTTAGGTGTCTAAGTGATTAAATTACAAAATTCAAGTGGTATGAATGAAATTTTGTCTTTATTATATGTATCAGTCGGCCGTGTCATTTTTTAACCTTCTGTCCCAGTCGAGTTAACGTGTAAAATTGAGGCAAATAAGGTTTTATTATGGGAATTACGATGGACGGTCGAAGCCTCCGACCTTTGATCTCCATCTCGGAGGCGAATTCTGGGCTACTTTCAACACATCTCTCAGTGATGAACCAATTTTTCATGAAGTTTTGTATCAACCGAAGAGTGAGAATGTCTCTGTGTGCTTGGTTCGTACACAGGATGGTGAAATTCCTTTCATTTCTTCCCTGGAAGCAACTTCTCTGGATAAGTATACTTACACACACCACCCTCTGTATAGACTGATGAAGAATGGCACTGCTTTCCATCTTCTGAGCAGAACCAACTATGGCGGCTACAATAGAATATTACCGTAAGTTTTCCTTACCAATACAACCGTTGCATCCATCCATTTGGTAGAAGCGGCAGTCGAGTCGTGCTTTTCGAGTCATGCTTTTTCGTGTGTGGATCGCTTCATATCAATCTATTTATTCATAATGTGTCGTATTCAAGTTGATTCGCTTATAAACAGTAAACTAAAAACTCAAATAGAACCTCATTTTGTCTTAACAAAATACACTACCCACAAGTCCCCAATTATTAAATGTGAAAAAAACAGACATTTTTTTCATATAAACATTTCAGTACACGAGACTCTGATTGTTATGGGGTTTAAGAAGAATTAGATGTAGACAGTTTTATCCCTATAAACAAATAAGTTATTTTTACGACTCGAATTTGTGAAAACAACACAGAGGATTAGACATTTTCTTCATATATTATAATATAAATTTTATATTTGGGTTTTTGATGTTTGACATTGATGAAACCGTCTTCTAATCGTATTGACGGGTTGTCACTCGTGTTATTTTTGGACTCGTATTGAGAATTAAAGACTAATAATATTATGTCAGTCGATCTCAATGTCTTGTCAACTGAGAAGGCCATGGTCTGGCATGGACAACGCATGCGAAGAGAGATTGAACAGATACTGGACACCAAAATCAGTACCAGGTTACCTCAATTACTCATTCTCGGTTGATTCCTGCATCGGCATGTACTACGAGAACCGAGCTCCGGATACTGTCATGAGAACTTTCATCGTACCTCCGACTGCTTCAGATTCTATTTTCCTGTCAGTTGATTTTCCAACCAATGACCCACAGTCTACGTACTTCGTGTTCTATTTTTTAGATGTTAAAAAGTCGCGAACTATAAACGAAACGAGGAAGGTGGACATTTATATTGATGGGGCATTGAAGAGTGAAATGGAGATAAAGGATGGTATAATCTATGTGGTGAGTTTGTATCCAGTGCTAGTCCAAGGTACCGCAAACGTGACAATTTCTCCGGCAAATGGGTCTGTTTTGCCTCCTATTCTGAATGGCATGGAAGTGTTCATAGCTAGAGATCTGTTGCAAGAGAAGATTGAGACTAATGGTGGATTGAAGATGATTTATTCTTTCATTGTTGTTTTAGGGTTTCATGTGTTCTCTTTCCTCATTTTGTTTGCTTGAAAAAAATAATGTAAGTTGTGTCCATCTCAACATTACTTTTTTCCATGTCATGGTACTCACAGTAAGACTTGTTGCACTGTGTACATGGAAGTACTCACAATGACAGAAGTGTCCCTTTGTCGTTGGAATCGATTTCTTTTCCACAGTGGTGTTCTATCTTTATTTCTTAGGTCAAAAACCCACACTTTTCAGTGTAAAACCGCATTTGCAAGAACTTGCTTTTAATTAGGCGATGAGTCTAAACCATGTTTCTTGTAAAAATAACAAGGAGTTCGTAAAATAAGTTTGACATATTATTGGTAAAAAGGAATTAGATTGAAAAATCATGATAATATCTAAACAAACTCAATTTGTTGTCGTACTTCTTTTAGTTTTCTGTCACTAGATTAAGAATCTAAAATGTTACAAATTTGATGCAACTGTTTGTGAAAACATGCATTTGAAAGCTCTTGTTTCAGTTATTGGAAGGCATGTGAGTTTTTAAATCAGTTAAGCATAGTGGTGCAACTTGGGTTGGGTACCCCAAATCCAATCCGAGCCTAACCTGAAAAAATTAGGGATAGAACAAGAGTTTTTAATACTTGGGTTAAGTTTGGGTCAAAAAATTCTAACTCGAATTCAATTTGGGTTAGACTTGGGTTAAGGCCTCGGGTTCACGGGTTCAACTCGAACCCGACAAATTATATATATATATATATATATATATATATATATATATATATAACTTACAATGAAAAAAATTATCTAAAACAAACAAACCAAACCAATGAGAAAAAAAACGCATTGTAAATAACTTAAAACATTAAACAATGTCATTAAATGATAGCATTAAATCAGTCTACAACGGCTCGTTACAAGATTTTTTGTTGTGACTGCCCAAACGCCCACACCGGCCACATCTAATTCGTCTAATGACTTCTCCCCTAGACCGAATTCTACGATTATTTNCTCCTTCTCTCTGCCTCTCTCGGTCTCTCAGTTGTGAAAAAAAGGCAAAATATATGGATTATGTTTTATAAATTTGTAATTATTCCCCCCTCTCTCTGTCTCTCTCGCAGTGGACTGGTGACAATAATTTTTATGTTAAAAACTTGGTTAAAGTTATTGGTTGTTACTTTATGTGAATATTACATAATATATATATTAAATTTAGAACAACAAGCTTATTTTAGACTTCACCCGAATTCAACCCTAATTGAATCCGTAAAATAATCCGAATTCAACTTGAGCCCGCCTGAATTAAACTCGGGCAGTAGTCGGGTTGAGTTCCTCAACCCGAGGTAGGGTTAAAGTTAAGATTTGGGTTGAAGATTATATACTTAGGGTTGGACTAAGGTTGAGTTCCTTTAACTCCCTTCTCATTTTTAAAAATAAATTACCTATCTATCTTATCTGGCCAGACTCCTCCTTTAACTCTTTCTCATTTTTAAAAACAAATAACCTATCTAATCCTATCTGGTCAGACTCTTCCTCTAACTCTTTATCATTTTTAAAAGCAAATAACCTATCTAATCCTATCTATCGAGACTCTTCCTCTGACTCTCTCTCATTTTTAAAAACAAATAACCTATCTAATCTCTTATCTCAATTGCTAACTCACCCACAGACCTCCGGCAAGTCTAACTATCTCACGATACCCCTCTTTCTCCCCTTCCTCTCTGTCTCTACCTTGCCCCTGCAACACACAGCACACTGAAGTAACACCCACTCCAACAGGCAACACCAGGAGTCCAGGTGTTCTGGATTTTTTGTGTGAGTGTGTATTCTGGGTTTGTTGTGTCTTTGTGTTCTGGTTTTCTTAAATTATCTCCCTCTTTGTCTATCTCGCTTTCTCTTTCTCTGTGTTCTGGGTTTTTTGTGTGTGTGTGTGCCTGTGTGTTCATTTTCTGCCTTCTATGAACGGTGCTTAATCGAACTTTGTATTATCGAAGCAGCTTGCTTATATCTGACAACAACTCGATTTTGTACAATTCAGTCTGTTATTTTTATTAAGTATTTCTGAATTTGGTTTTGGAACAACATCTTCGCCTTCTCATAGAACCCACGAGAGAGGGGTATATATATATGAGGGTAAATAAGTAGACCAAAAACAGAGGCAATAAACTGATTATGAATGCAAATTATAACTTTCTATGAAAACTGGCTAGACCCACATCCAATTCTTCCCTCACCAGAAGAAAAGCTTCAAATGGCCCCAATCTGTGTATACATGCAAATATATAGATATTCATGTGCATTTCTATTCTGGAGAGAGAGAGAGAGAGAGAGAGAGAGAAGGAGTAACTAGTGATCATAGACTAGGGATTGACATTTCCATGGTGTGAAATAATCCTCAGAGAATTGGAGATTATGAAATGATCCAGTAGGACACGTGGCCTTATGGGTATTTGAGATTATTCAATATTGATCCTAGAGAGCTGTGGAACAGAGAACATCCATGGTGGCGAGTCAGAGACAGAGGGGAGACGGCAACAGTCTGAGAAAAAGAGAACTCAAAGGACAAAAATAGTTTTATAGGGCTCACATTTAAGAAAAATTTATTTTACATAAATTTTTATTCCCCAGTCTCTCCTTTGAATTTAATTCAGAAATATCAATCGATTGACATTTAATTTCTTCAAATTTAAATTTTGTATTAAATTTCAGATTTAAATATGATTTATATTAATCTAATCACCATCACCATTTTTTTGTGAGTGAATGTTATGTGTTAAATATGTATTGTTATTTTCAGTACTTTTTTTATTCAAAATTTGTAATTTTGACATGATTTTATTATTGTTAAATGTTATGTGTGAAATAGGCTATTGCTATTTTCGGTACTTCTTAGTCATACATTTGTATGATTTTATAGAAGAAAAAAATATTTAAATGTTAAAAAAAATTCATAGACATTCAAAAACCAAACTAATCACAAAAATCCAAAAATTCAAAACCAAGCTAATCACCAATAAAAAAAAAAATAAGTGATACCAATTGCACCAAAAAAAAAATTTTAAAACCAGGCTAATTGCCAATAAAAATAAAAAAATGAAACCAATTGCACCAAAAAATAATATTCAAAACCAATTATAAATTTTTTTTTCCAAGTCGTAGACATTCAAACCAAAGCTCATCACTGATAAAAAAGAATGACAGAATTAAATATTTGAATAATTTTATAGGGAGGAAAAAATTTTGAATGCTAAAAAGAAAAATTCCAAGTTGTAGACATGCAAAGTCAAGTTGCACCATAAAAAAAAAAAAAAATCAAAGTCAAGCTAATCACCAATAAAAAAATAATAAGTGATACCAATTGCATCAAAAAAACAAAAAAAAAAATTCAAAGCCCAAGTTAATAGTAATAAAAAAAATAATAAGTAATTGAATTTATAATTATATTGTGTTATTCGGTTGAATGGTGATAAATTCATATGCCTTATAAACGAGTAAGATTTTATATTACTTAAAAATTATAAATGTTATTAGATTTCATTTGTATTTTTTTTCCCGATGTATTTGTATATGTGATATTGTTTTGGGCAATTTTTTTTTATACATTTTTTGGATAGTTCTATTAATATGAAAGATATAATCAACAGTATATTTCGGGTTATTTTATAAGAATTGATATGAATGTTTTTGACCCAGTTTCTTTTTTAAGATGAACAATTATTTGTGATTTTTTATGGGTTATATAGTGTCTTCAGGCACGGACAATGACTAGTTATATAATATATGTATTAGGTTTAGAACAACAAGTCTATTTTAGACTCTACCTGAATTCAACCCGAATTGAACCCGTAAAATAACCCGAATTCAACCCGAGCCCGCCTGAATAAAACTCGAACAGTGGTCGGGTTGAATTTCTCAACCCGAGATAGGATTAAAGTTAGGGTTAGGGTTGAAGATTATATACTTAGGGTTGACTGTCCGACTCATCCGTGTTGCATCCCTAATTAAGCTACTCAAGCGTGACCACGTTTGGCTCGTTTAAATTCATTTGTATTGAAAATGAACTAATTATGATAAAAAAAAATTTGACTTCGTTTAATACTCAAGTCTAATTGAGCAATATGCAACTTGCTAGGTGCCAATTCGGTTCCAAGATTGACACTTCAACTCTCATTTAAGAACTGGTATTTTTATGATTTACTAGAACTTGAGCTCGTAGTACAAAAATTAGCAAAGTCCAACCACTACAAATCTCAGCACATATTCAAGAAATTGAGCTAAAATTGAGTTAAGAGCTCAAGCTCGACTACCTTGTTTAAGCGTGAGATAGTCAACTCAAGTCATATGATTGTGTGCATTGGCACATTGTTTCTGTCTATCGAACGAAAACCACTTCTTTTTTGGCTGGCTCGACTACTTTGCTTGCTTAAACACAAGTTTTTATATGTGTTTGCCTCCTTGTTAAGACACTCAAACTAAAAGTATATAAGTATTGTTATTATCAACGGGTCTTTAGTCCAATAGTACTCCTTACCTTATAAAGACTTTATCTTCTTGAGGTTAAGGGTTCAAGTCCCCCTCCCAAAAATAAAAATAAAAAAGTGAAGCTATTATCTAGGAGTTAGTTGCTTCAGATATGTATACAATTTGTGGGCTTTTTACTCACTGCGTGTACTGCTAAGCATTGGTCTCGGGTTGTCACACCCAAAGGTTGCCAAACGACCAGTGGGCCATGGGTTGGCTTTAATGCTGAGCAGCTTCTGATGGGTTATTAGCCCATTAGATAGGGCCCTTGGACTATCTTTTTCGGCCATCATTGGAGGCCGAAAATCAATCATAGCATAACAGCTTACCAAATACCAAAAAATAAAGTGTAAATTATAATTTATATTTTTTTTTTGTTTAATAATCAAGAATATTCAGACTAAGTTACGCGTATATCGACTAATCCCTTTTTTGGTCCAGTCAGAAATAGGTCATCCATGTTATGACTAGGATATTCATAAAGATAAATCTTTCATGGCCTAACCTTAAAAAGTTTGTTTTGATAAATTTTTGGGGAGGGT